ATGGAAATTTAAATTTTACCATAGAACAATAAAAATAATCATAATTATTGTATCAAAATATTATACTCCCAATTTATATTTTAATGAAACAATAATAATATCAACTCTTTTTTGTATTTATTTGTCAATAAATTAATAATACGTTTTGTCATCTAACCTATCATGTGGATAACCATCTAAATCGCACCACTTCCAAACAGCAGCATTACTCCAAAGTTTTGTCATATTAGTTTCTGCATCATTCATCTTATTTTTAAAATGGGGGCTTAATTCTTCTCTATCTGCTAAGTCTTGCATAATGTGAAAAAGCCATTCCCTCATTCTCCTTGGGAAATCTTCCATTTCTGAGTCAGAACACGCCTAAGTATCCATAACAAATATATCATGAATAGTTAAATAGTCCTACTGGCTACTACTATTACAGTTTGTCGACATTATTAATTATTATAACTTACTGACAATTGTTTACAAGCTCCATAATATTCCACATGTAGGTGACTAAATTCTGGATTACTACATTTTTCTGATTTTTCTTCACAGTTGCAACGCATTCTGTGAATTTCACAATCAGAACCCCATGTTTGATTATAATTTGAACAAACCTAGAAATACAAGATTGAAAAAAAAAATCATTATAATGTTATGTTATTATGTTAATTTCACCTTTCTTCTATCCTCTGTTTCAACAGGACAATCTGAAATACAAACACATTCTGCTTCTCCATCTTCAGTCAACTTGCAAACACGTCCAGCACCACAGTGCTTTTTTTGACAAGGACCTAATGATTATCAAAAAAACATTCAAACAAATGTGTATCGGACGCAGATATATGCAATTATGGAAAGGCAAAAAAGTGTTGTTAGTAGCAAAATATACTAGAGTTGAACGTGAAAGGCTTGAACACCCTAATGTATCAGAAAAACAACTGCTGAACCAATTAAGTAACCAAGGTGCTAACTTGAAAACTATTTTGGAATCGCATAATGAACACTACAGTATTGTAAAAGAGGTGACTGCTGCCATTAACCGCTTGGATGTTGAATCGAAAATAATTAATCTCAAGGTAACTTTTAAATCAATGAAACAATATATATTAAAAAAAAATCATCCAAAAATATATATTTTAGATGATACAATTTTTTTATTTTTTAGGATATTAATACTGCAGCAGTATCTTGGGCTGATGTTCTGATTGCTATCGGTGGTGATGGAACGTTTCTGGTTATGTCCAGTTATGTTCAAAATAATCAAACACCAGTTGTTGGAATTAATTCTAATCCAAGTTCATCACTTGGTTATTTATGTTTACCAGATATTTGTTCCCGAAATATACAGAACACTTTTGATACATTAGAAAAACAAAATTTTTTTTTTATTGACAGAAGAAGAATTAGAGTTTCAATGAAAAGTACCAAAAGTAAGAATCTATAACATTTTAAAAAATAAATAAATTGTTCAATAATGTTTTGGAAGGTGGTGCTATAATTTCGAATTATTTCATTACTGCTCTGAAAAATATCAAAATTTTGAAATTTTCWCTAGAAAAAATGTAAATAAAAACATTATTTTTTACTTGCTTAAATTATAACATTGGACAAGTATTTTACCATCTGTTATTGTATTACATATTATTTTATGTGGAAATTTTACTCTACATTGGTGGACACTGGCAACAGGAATTGACTAGGAATAAACATCAGTGTTGGGGAAACAGAAAATTTAGTCCAAATATAATATCCCAAAGATTTTTTATTTTGTTTAACACTTTGTTAGGTATTTTTACCTTTTTTCTTATTATTCTTTGGTTACTGGATACAATTATTATTAAAAGTATTATTATTCATACAATTAGAATAACAACATACTTTTATTAAATCTTTCCATATTTATTCAAGCAGCCCAAATTTTTAGCAACTCCCATCCTAGCATAGTATCCCTGTCTGGCAATGTCTTCATTCAACATTTTTAAAAAAYAAATAATAGTTATTAATCCTGAATTGTTTTTTTTTTTTTTACCATCATTAATTTAATATGGTACCTATATTGTAAATATATTATTTTCTCTCTTGACCTATAAATAATTCTTAAATGAGTAGAACATATTTGGTTTGGGATTGTACAGTTTCTGCTAGTGTGAAAAAACATAATTGAAAAGAATGAACATTATGTTTATTTTCATTGAATTATGACCTTTGATGAACTTTATAAATATGTACAATACTACAATTCATATAATATATAAAGATAAATATTATTTAAATTATTTAAAAATAATTTAATTTGCAATGTAAAAAATTTATTTAAATTTATCAGTATAAGAATCAGTGCCGTAACTAGCTTTATGTGCGCCCTTGGCAACCAATGTTATAAATTATTAATAATGAATTTTTAGTATTTATATGAAATAAAAATTGCGCCCCTAGCGCGATTATTTTAAACTGCGCCCTTGGCCACTGCCCACCTTGCCAATGCCTAGTTACGGCACTAATAAGAATATAAAAAGAAAGATGCAAATGCAATAACTTCTCTTCCTTAATAATTTTATTTATATATTTTTAGAAAAAATGGAACCACCATTAAATATGTATCAAGATTTTGTTAAAACTAGGCCAGATTCTCATTCATCACATGACATGTTGGCACTTAATGAGGTATTTATTGGTGATAAAATGCCAGGACGTACTTCTGAAATGGAGTGCAAATTTGATGGTAATATGCCCATAAAAATAAAATCATCAGGACTGTGTATAAGTACTGGAACTGGATCAAGTGCATGGAGTTATGCATTAAATAAAATTAGTGCTAATGAAATTAAAAAGATTTTAAGTCTCAAATTTTGTGAAGTATCAGAACAAGAATGCATAAAAATAGCTAATGAGTATAACAAAAATCTAGTTTATAGGCCAGATTTAGAATATTTACAGTACACTATAAGAGAACCAACAGGGAGATCTCTTTGGCAGTCAAATGATGAATTAATTAAGTCTGATAAAATAAAACAGGCTGAAGTAGAAACCCACTGTGAAGAAGGATGTATAATACTAGATGGATTTCTAATATATGTTTTTCCTAAAGGTACAAAAGCTATTTTAACTTCAAGACCTGAAGAYTCAATTAAGTCAGTAATGATTAATGTAGACTAAAAAATAATTTTTATACAGTTTTAACTATTCTCAAGATTGTGATATTTTAATACAATTTTAATTATAAAAATAAARAATAAAAATGTAATTAATATTAATTGTGACAAAAAAAAATATATTTTAAAAATATCA